CCCCCCCCCCCCAAAAACCCCTCTCTCTGTGTGTCTCTCCCCCCAGGGCCCCTACTCCCCGTTCAGTCCCTCTCACACCTTTAGAACCATAGACCCCAGCCCCTGCCAGGCTGACACCCACCTCTACTGAAAGCAGGTCAGCAGTACTCTCTCTACTATAGAGAGAGTGGAGGCCTTAACAGCCAACACCTCAGGGTCCAGAGCCCAATCCCAGAAGTCAAAACACAAGAGAGGGCACTGGGGCAGAGAAGAAAGGACCAAATCCCCCAAATCTTATCTCTCTGGTGACTCTCTCCCCTCCTCTCTCTCTCTCTCTACTAGTAGGAGAGTATATAGTAGACTAATAGAGAGAGACTGAACAGTGAACGATACATATAACATATCTGTCAATTGACAACCAAAATTCTGCTACAGATGTCTTCTGTATGTAATATGTGTTATTTCCTTCACTCTCCGAGTCTCGGTCACATACCCAATTCTCTGTTGCAAAATTGTTCTCGGTTCCAAGTCGATATTTGTTTCACGTGATATAAGTCCCCAAAAAAAAGAGAGGCGGGAGGTCTGTTCACTTTCCTCTTATTCTGTAGTACGGCCAGAATTGACCTCTTGCCTTCTATATATGGCCGATGATTCAGACGCTGACAAAGCCATACAATGTCGATTAAAAATAAAACAGAAAATGAATCATTCAACACCGAGCATATGTACTTACATACAAATCAATAAAATATTCAAAACTGTAAAACACGTATGCAGCTTGCTGTATGCACTCGGTGATACATTGATTACTTCTAATTTACTCTGCACTACGCACACCCGTAGTGGCTGCCCTGTTGTATCTACAGTGCAATTTTAAAAGTGCGGGGTGCGAAGTGAGAATGTAGAAGTCGGAAGCTTATATAAAAAAAAAGGATGCGGGGGAGGGGGTATCGCCTGAAACAAAGATCTCAGAAGTTAGAACCAATGTGAGGAAGTTCGAGAACTGTATTTATTTATTTTGTATTTCAAGTTTCAACGAGCGTATCAATTTACTTCTCAAATCTTTACATAAACACACAAATCTAGTAGTCAACTACACCAAGAGTCTCAACAGGCGTCTCAAGTCTCAACATTCAACAATAAAACGTGCGAGAGAGTCTGAGTGAGGGCCGTAAAGATGCCCCAAAGACGAGAGACTCTATAGAGTTCAGAGTATGAATTCCAAACACTCAGGACCCAGAGGCTGAACTCTGGAGGCGGAATTTTGATCTCTTCTTGTGTCTCACACTTCACAATCCACATATGTACACATGACTACACACAGTGGCAACTGGCACAGTATTTATTGAGAAGGTCACTCTCTATTCTCTAATTACTGCAATGAGAAGAGCAGCTCTCATTATCGGAGGCCGGAGGGCTGATCAAGTGATCACATATCGCTTGAGTCATGAACATTGAACAGTGACTTGAAACTTCAGCCGTAAGCCGACAGTCAGCGGAGGCCGGAGAGGACTTAACTCACTCGTCATCTCTTTTTTTATAAAATGCGACAGTTTAACAATCGACTCAGAGAACCATAGCCACAGCCCACAGGTGACAGCCGCCCTGTCACTTCTCAATTGGCAGTATTGGGCGGAAATGAATCGAGTCGGATATACATATTTTCTAGTATTATCTACATACCAATTTCTCTCTAGAGGAATTTAATACATAAGCCCTATTTAAATCGGAAACCAGAACCAAATTTCCTGCTACATACAAACCCCAAACCCCCTTTTTGTTTTTTTTAATAAGGACGTTAGTCCGTTCAGCCATATTTTCTTTCTTCTCTCTCCGAGGACTGAGAGGGTCGTGTTTTTAAAAACGAAGTTTTGTTCAATTTTCAGAAGGCTATGGAGTATGGATGCTTGGCTTGTTCTTTTTTTAGAAGGCGACATCAAATGCTATTTTTTTTTTAAATGCCTTGTCATCTTGTGCCGTTGTGGTCTCGGCCCTCGGGCCTATGCCATGTTATTTGTGGCCTGTGCCCTGTACACGCCCACACGACCACATACGGCCATAAATATGTAGCCTTCTGATATCTGAAAATTGAACAAGAAAGCTACGTATGTGATAAGCGGAGCCACGGCTTGCTGTATTTACCCACGGTCCCACGCCCTCGAGCCACGCCGCCACGCCACCCCCAGTCCTTCTGCTCTCGAACCAGAGTTGATACACTCTTATTACTCGTAATAAGCTTTGTTGCTTTACTCTCTCCAGAAGTCCGAAGTTTTCAGTTTCTTGCACTCACCTGTGGCTGTTAGTTAACTCAGTTCACGGTATCACCTCAGTCTGACAGTCACTCAGTGTCGGTGATGACTGATGAGTGACCTCACCCGGGCTACCAGCACTCTCCTGCTGGAATAAATGGTAAAAATTTGCTGTATCATATACATGTATTTACTATTGTATGTGAATAAAAAAAAAGAAAACAACAAGAGACATGTCACATATTGTTACAGTATGGTAATACATGCATATTTATATTTTTTTCAAATTAGTTTTTAAATTGAACCAGTCAGGTGTTTCGGTTTTGTTTTTGTTCTTTTTTATTTGTGTTGTGAAGAAAAACTAAACAACAAAACTGCAGTCACTTTTTTTAGTAAAATAAAAAATCGCTATCATTTTTTCTAAAAAGATCAGACGACAGTCGACATATGTATATAAATACAATATTTTATGTATTTATTTATAGTTTGGCTTTCTAAACGAATCCGACACACATGCGATCATGCGTTTACGGTTTACCAGAGGTCACCTTTTCAAGTCACTCCTGCCAAGAGTAAAGAGACGGTGATTGGCTGAGTACCTCGCGTTTTTAAACATAAAAGGCAAGTATTTACTCAAAAATAGAAAAGCCTTGGCATTCGCCATTCAGATTTCAGCCTTGATGGGTGCTATGGCTGAGGAGCTTACTATTTAAACAAATACCACACAGGCACACACAGGCGAGTTGGGGAGATACAATAGATAATTAGATTAAAAAAAGCAATTGCCTTATTAGGTTATTAAGAGCAGATGTGGATTGTATTTATTGATTATTCCTCCCCACTGTTACTGTACCAGAAGTTCAGAACTCGGAAATCTGAAATCAGCAGTTCAACAGTGATCAACACTCAGAGTCTCGACGAGGTCGAGGACGAGAGGTGCCATCAGCCCATCACTCGTCAGACTGTCACGCTGTCGCAGTGTCGGACTGTCGATACTCGGACCGCGGTACTCGGTATTTAGTCTCGTTGCGACTTGCGAGTGTCAACAAAACAGAGAACCAATAAACGTGTCAATACCATGTGTGTGACAGCAAATAGAGTCAGAATTATAATATTGAATACACACCCGAATATCTCTGTGGAGAACTAAATACATAGCGATCGTGTAGAATTAACAGACGAAGAGAAGCATCCTAAAAATTGATAATCGTTGATTATCATCAAATTGACATACATAGTCCTCTGAGGCGGTCTGAACAATACAGATGGCTGTTGAATTGAGGTTTCAAATAATATGTCGAAGCACGAAACGCCGCCTAGCTGTACTATATAAACGCTATTTACAAGCATGAATGAAAATGACACAAACACTTATTATTAGCTGCAATAATGATGAATATGAGAACACCCTGTGCTCTATTGGCACTTGCATCATACGCAAACGCCAAGGCAATATCTGGACGCGGTGCTGGATCTTCCGCACCTAGTATATGTAATCTCGCTTGGTCCAACAGTGGTGCAGCTAAGAGCACCGACTGTACTGGTGCTGAATGGATATTCTCGTCGTCAAGCGATAATAGCGATGTAGTGACTGCGGGACTTGCAGATTCGTTCATCACTTCTATGATATACTTGTCTGTTGGCACTGTGCATGTCGACAATCCTGCAGATCCCAGGTTAAATGATTATATCTGGCAAGCGAATGATGACTTGGATGGTGATGGGAAGTCCTGGGGAGACTATTGGTTTGACCCTGATGACCTGGTCTCCAAAATTTTGCCCATCATGAAGGATATCATGGACGACTACAAAGCAAAAGGCTACGATGCAGTCAGCACAGATAATGCAAAACCATCGACAGCAGTGTCGGACAATGACGAAATTGCTGCCAGGGCTCGTGAAGAACAAACAATCGATCAACGCTACGTCGATTACATGAACGGAATTGTAGATTATGCACATTCTATTGGCTTAAAGGTGGCTTTGAAGAATCCATCATACTATACTCAAGAGGACACTCTGATACATAAATTCGATGCGTATATCGTTGAGTCTATGTTTAATTGGTATCCATCCGATGTCAACAATTACAACAGTGTCCCTGATCTGCTCACGGGGTCCAAACCCTTCTGGGTATTTCAGTATGAGGAAATCAACGAGGTGAGTAACTCGGAACTTCGAGAACGTATGGTGGAGCAAGGCGTGGATATGACTTACATGGATACCAGTCACGGCTGGGTAGAATTCTATGCCACGGATTAGCGGTAGTAATAATTGTAAATAATCTTAGTGCGTAAGTACACAGTGCTGAACACGCACTTATGCCTCCACTGCAATATCCTTGCACCCTGAACTGTCTTGAGCAGTTCCAATTCAAAGTACAATCTCGAAAACTATACACTTATAACCTATACTAATACACATATTAATCTGCCAATCGCTATATATTGGTACAATACCCAACAATAAAATAAAACCGAATACTTCACATATCGCACTTCCTCTGCCGAAATACCCATACACAGTTGTAGAGTGCAAAGTCAGCTACCTGACACCATCAGGTAAATATGATCTTAAATATTGTCTCATATTGATGACACTACTTGTCCCATGTATATTGAGCTATATCGCAATTATTCGAGCCCACATTGTCATCACCAAGAGTGCGATAGACTCCCACATATAAATTGATTGGCTGTAATACTCGTTAAAAAAGAAGCGTTGTCATGAATGAATAATAAATGGCAGATCGACAATTACATGCCTATATTTTTGTTTCGTAAGGAAACGAGAAAAAGCGACAATTAGTTTTATTTTTATTTATTTTGTCTATATCTCCCATTTCCGTAATAGATCGCAAACATTGCAAATCATACGGTAGCACCTATCGTTAGACGTGCAAGCACGCATCGCGGCGTGTGTAGTTGCCCATGTCACTATAGTATTAAGCTATTCTAGCCCCAACGATTGTTTGAGAAGCCCGTCTTCGTTCGCATACATGAGCGTCTCGTAATCCTGTTCGCGGCGATTGAGTAGATTTGATAGTTTAGTAAGACATAGAATGAGGTACACTAAAGTTTCTATCCCACAGTTCATATATCACATTAAATATGATCATTCACGCATCCTCGAACCAATCCATACCTAAGATACGATGCGGTCGTGATTCGAGTACATCACATATCACCAGTGAGCTAAAGAAAGCTCAACCTAGATAAAATGTGTGCACAAGTGCATGACCTAACACAACATCGGATCTCAAATAAGTGTAACTCGGCGTGGTTTAAAATTCGACGTGCAAATACGTGTACTACTACAATTTTCCAACGAATCTAACTCGGAACACATACGATTAAAAATCCAGGTAGCGGCATTGACGTACGTTGTACGTGATATCAACAAGTCACAAGTGACAGAAATGTATTCACTGTTGACTCGTCTGCATCGGCATATAGGAGACATAGTGTCTCCAACGAGATATCGGCCAATTAAATGAAAATCGCAAAACATTCGCTCCGTTGACAATGACTTACATGACAAACGAAACAAGCGAGTCGCATTAGACACTGCAAGAGTGCAAACTCGATGTGTGTCATGTACTGCCTGCAACAGCGCGTGAAACACATACCCCTTTGAACTCGTCGTCAACAAATACTTTAGGAATAGTGCGACTCCCGCTTTTCGCCAGTAGGTATTTCTTCTTATCCTCGTTCTCGTCTAATGAGATATCAATCTGCATCGAGTAGCAATGTGACATACATTCAAAATTATATCTACAGCTGCACGAGTATGTGCATATTAAAGCAGCAACATTCCGATCTGGGTAGCGGCCACGATTACAAGTGTGGACCATTTTAGTACTCTCTGATATCGCAACTGTTGGCTGTGGCTCGCAGCGTCAATTCAATGGTGGTAGATATGATATATAAACAATAAAATCACATCGTCTTTGCCACATGCACAAAGAAAAACAGAAAGATGCACGGCAATATCGTAATAGGCAATATCGTCATATTCAAGACTGATACAGAGCGTGAAACAGGCTCATAAACTATATGCGATAGCGCCAGCTCCGAACAAAAAGCTAACAAACACCCATTCGAAAAATTGATGTCCGCGTATGTTTCTTGAACAGGTACCTACCTCTTTGTACTCAATTTTGTGCGCATCGAAGAACATTTTGATCGACTTGGTTTCGCCATCCACCTACGAATATACCAATTTTGTGGTAAAATGAATGCCCGACAAACGTCAATCAAACAGGACGATGAAGGAATAACGACGACCGCAATGCATATATAGTTTAGCCCTAAAAGTCTGTTTGGGCCAACAATGTACCGACAATATATTTTCATGAACAGATGTGTGTCAGTAAGTCACTCTCCGTGTGAGTCTCTGTATGTATAGAGAATGCACGAATGCGTACTAATAATTTTCATGTATGCACGAATATATGTATATATATATATATATATATATATATATGCGTGTGTATTTCTATGTGTATGTGTATATGTGTGCGTGTATGTGTGTGCGTGCGTGTGTGTGTGTGTGTGTGTGTGTGTGTGCGTATGTATGTATTATATATATAGTTAGTATATATATATATATGGTAT